GGTTTCTCTTCTTGTTCAAGGTGTGAACATGAAGGAACATATTTATTAAATCGTATAACTTTTCCATATACATCAGGTAATCAACCCTCCAAGAGAACACATCAAAATTATATTTCTCGATCTGATGAAGAATATCATATTGGAAATACTTCCATTTTAGTTACTATACCATATTTTGATGTTGTTGCTGATTTTTCTATGGATTATCAACATTTAGTTTGTTTAGGCGTCGTTCGAAAAATGATTTATTTATGGATGAAAGGCCCTGTGGCTGTTCGATATCCATCTTGGAAAATAGAAGAAATATCTAAAACACTAGTAGGCTTAAGAAAAAACATACCTTGTGAAATAAATAGAAAACCTCGAAGCTTAGCTTTATTAAAAAATTGGAAAGCTACTGAGTTTAGAACATTTTTATTATATTTGGGTTCTTTTGCAACTAAGTCAATCATATCAAAGGAACATTGGAAAAACTTTTTTGACTTAAGCTTAGGTATGATAATATTATTAAGTCCTGACTATGGACAATGGACATTATATTGATATTGCAAGGAAAATATTGGATAACTTTATTAAACAATTTGAAATATTGTATGGACGTCATCTTATATCACATAATGTGCATGGGTTAAACCATATATGTGATGACTATATTAAATTTGGTCCACTAGATAATTGCTCTACGTTTCCTTTCGAAAACTACATGGGTACTTTAAAAATTTGATTAGAAAACCAGACAAGCCGCTTATCCAAGTGGTTAAGAGATGTAATGAAATAAATTTATTGAAACCCCAATTTCAAAATGAAACACCTGCAGATTTCCATTTTTCTGGATCTCATGAACGTGGACCACTTACAGAAAATATGCAAGGATCCCAGTTCACCACATTAAAAACGAAACAGTTTACAATTAAAACAAATATAGAAACCGACTGTTTCCTATTAACACGCAATACAATGTTGGTTAAAGTTTTCAATATTGTTAAAGAAAAAAATGATACAGTGTGTTTAATTTGTAAAAAATTTCAAAACAACAATATTTTATTTAATAAACCAATTGTATCTTCTGAGTTAGATATTTATACTGTTAATACATTAAGCGATGAATTTTATTGTTACTCGATTAATGAGATTAAAAATAAAATGATAGTTTTTCCTTCTAGTGATCAATTTATAGCCTTACCATTACTGCATACTTCTTGTAAGTAATATATTTATAATTATTAATTTTGTGTATAAAAGTAATTTTATATATTTATTTGTACTTAACATTGTTTTTAGGGTAGAATTAGAAGACAGTTATAATATTTTTTAAGTTGTAGAGAGTATAATATGTATTATTTTAAGTTAATTATAATAATATGTAGTATAACGGTTAATTATTATTCAAATCATCAGTGTTATTAAGTTTGAAAATAAAATACAATAAATGTTTAAAAATCATTTTGCATCAATCTTGATTGTCATTTTTTGTCAGTTGTATTTCTTAAATAAAATTAGGTAAATACATAATTAATTCTTCTTTTAGTCAATTTTTAACTATTTTATTATTGTTATTACAGTAGAATATTTTAAAATATGTGGTCAGTAGTAGAATTTGTGGATGACAAAACTGTTGAAGCTGTACCAAATTATTGGTTTAAAAACCAGAAATGTGCCTGGCCGAAAAAGAACATAAAAAAAATGATTCAAACTAGAGTTTATCCTAATGTATTGGATTTTAATTTCTATGCTGCACGTAAAATGGGTAAAGACATAGGTATATATTTATTGAAATAATATGCTATTGTGTTTACTGTAAGAGATATTTTATTAAAATTAGTTTTTATTTATAGAAAGTTATAGTACTGCTTTACAAAAAGCTATGAAGGCTTTGTACACATCAGATTTGTCTACTAATGAGTCTTCATCTCAAATAAATGAATTTGAAAATAGATGTACCAGCAATAAAACTAAAAGAAAAATTACATTCAAAGGGAAAAAAGCTGATAATACTTTATTGTGGAGTCCTGCATCTTGTGATGTTTTAAGTAAATCTTATAATTATTGCTAACACTTTAAGCATGATTTAATATCTGTTTTTGTTTTATCATTTATTAGATGATGAAATTGATGATAGTGATGAAGATCCGAATTATAGTCCACGTCATATAGAAAATATTACTCATGGTAAGTAAAACTAATATTTTATTAATAGTAAGTCGTATATCATTATATATTATGTAGTGATTTTTAATTGTTTAAATATTTTGTAGAAACTCCAACTAAAACCATTGCTGAGGAAATTAATATTTCAAATTCTTGTCCACTTACATCTTTAAATGTAAAAAAACGTTTGGCTTTTGATATTCCTGAGCGCCATAGTTCTGTTAGTCCAAGTGTATTTGGTGGTGTCAAGAAATTAAAAAATACTGGTAAGATATGTTATTATTGCAAATAAATTTTTAAAAAATAAGTTCTAAATTACTAGACGTGTTAAGACTATGTTCAAGTTTAAGGATTAAATAGATAGCATTAATAAATATTATCATAATAAGATGAATAATTTGTTATGAAAATATAAGTAATAACACTTATAAAAATACCACTCTTTGTGATAAAAAAATTAATTCTCTACTAGTCCACACAATAGTTATATTCACACATATATTTTCTTCATTAGTTCCAGATACTAGAGTTTTATCTTCAAATAAATTAATAAATAAATCTTCGGAAATAATACATACATCATCGTCGCCCTTCAAAGTAACAATGGACCAACCTATAGAGTCATTTGATACAAATACTTCTTCAGCAGTTAATAATTCTGTACTAGGTAACTTTTTATCATAATTTTCTATTGAAATAGGTTAACTTAATATCAGTATATATATTTTTTTTTAATTTTCAGATTATCTTCAAAAAATGAACAGAACAATTTGTAACATTAAGTATGACTTGAACATGGTGTCTGATAAAATTAATAATATAGAAGGTATGTTGTTAAATGATTTCAAAAGTGGAGGTCAAAGTAGTATACATTATTGTGAAGATACATTTCAAACAGAGTTCAATAATCTTTTGCCTCTTGAAACAGAGGAAAACTTGCAAACCTTTGAAAATAAACTTTTAAATAATGCGTTTAGAGCTAAAATGGTAATTCATTTTAATTTTTAACAACATAAATATATTAAAATGTCGAATTTAAATTTTTTTTGTAGGTTGAAGAAATTAAACGATACTCCCGAAACACATTACCGTGCACCGTACGTGCAATTATGCGTATTATTTTCAAAGATAGACTACTAGAGGAGTATAGCTATAAAGGAATAGGAAATAAAAAAGTTTTTTACACATTGGCAACATGTTCTATTATATTTGGTAAGTTTGATTACCTAATTATATTAATATTATTTTGTTTTTTATTATAGGTATAATAAAATGTACCTATCATAGACTTATTCACTATACATCTCAATTAACTATTTATTAAATTATAATGATTTCCCTACCTATGTATTTAATATAATATATATATTATATATTATATAATTTTATTACATTTTTATTTTATAACAGAGGCAATCAAGAAAATGAAAAAATTCAGCAAGTTTGATACTATAGATGTTGAAAATCCTCTAAGAATATTTATAGCTGGTGCCAAATTCAGGGATTCTACACGCAAAAATCCAAATCCTGAAACTAGTCTATCAGATAATAATGTATCAGCTGATATATAAATTAAATATTTATTATTTATATTTCATAATTTTTTTTAATGTATAAAATAAAAGTTACAATAAAGATACAATTAATGAATATAATACTTTTCATTATGTTTATATTTCTATTACTTCTTATAGCTCCTCTATTATGATGTTATTATGATTTTAATATTTAATATTATTAGTTATACTGCAGTACTCATAGGTTTTTGAGGAGGATGCTAAGGATCGTAGTAAGTGGAAATTGAGGACCAGGGTGATCGACCCCAAATAGTTGCGATAGTAGGCGAAGGACAAGAAGAAGATATAGTACTCATAGGTCATATAACAATTCAATTATTTGATATATTTTTTACTGATATTTCATAATATTGAAACATAGATTAGAAAAATATCAAATTGATGAAAATTAAAATTACTATCAAAATCATATTGAAAAATAATAATTTTAAGATATTTCTAAAATAATATAAAATTAATTTAAGATCATTAAGAGGCCGCTACACAGAAAGTGAAACGTATACAACGCTCCAGAGATGGCGTTGTGCACCGTATCGCTGCCGTCGTGGCTGCCGTAACCACGCCTATTAGCTCCTCCTTGACTTGGCCCGCGCGCAATATTTTCCGGAGCGGCGCATTATTACTCCGCAGACGGTCATATTAGACGTTTCGTATGTATTTTGTCGCCTGTATAGTTCTATGCGCTCGGCGCGGTCACTCCTTGCTTGGCGCTCACCCTCACCACTTACTGATTGACTTAAGCTCCTCTTTACTTTTAAATATGAACAAGCACAACAATTTTTATACAACATAGCTTGATTTACCTTTTCTAGCATAATTACCTACTTTTTAAAATACATATTATGAAGTATGTAGTATGTACACTACAAGTTCCTAATTTATTTTAAAACATAGTTTATACTGTTACAGTAGATTGTTGCGCATAATATTATCTTATTAATGGAGTTAAAATAGGAAATAATTCATATCTTTAAATCACTATTGCAATTTGCACTTCATATTTCATCCTCGATCGACTACGTTTTCACATAGTATAGGAGCTACATTTTATATATAGTTTTAATATTCGCGCATATCTACGTGATTTGTCTTCATTCATTATTGCATTAATAAATACATCCAGAAAAAAATAAAAATAAAAATAATATCAATTTTATAACAATAAGCCAAACTATTTAAAAGTTTAATTGTAGTTTAATAGGTAAATTTAAAAACAATATAATAATAATACTATGATTTTTTAATTTTTTTCATTGATAATTTATTAAATCTTTCTTGTTGTTTTTCTAAAATTTCATCCGGATCCCTGATATCACTTATCAACAATCTTTTTCCATATAAGGGATCAACGAGTTCAGGCAAGAGACAATTTAAATAAAACCTAAAATATAAATTCACGTCATAATCAATTTAATTATTAGAAATGGTATTGGTTCTTATAAATATTTACGATGTTAAATTTTCAGACATTTTCATCCAAAATGGATGATCATAATGAATTCTTTCCACAGTGGTCCAATTTTCGGTGTATACTACTAAATAGCATAATTTGCGTTGAGTAATATGCAATTGTCCAATAACTTGGTAATAATAATTACTATTTCTTTTTAATATGATCGACGAATCTTTTAAAGTCCAATTCGGTAGCTGTAACATGTGTTATAGACATAATTTTAACTGTTATATAGGTACATAATGATAACTATTTATAGAAGTATTGCAATATCAAAACATTTTTTTTTTTAATTGATATATTTTTATTGATACTTACAAATTTATTGTTGAAAGCTTCAATTACACTTTCTGAATTACGAGCATTGTAAGGACATTTAATTTCAACAATGGCATTTTCCCCAACTAAACCATCTAATTAAATAAATATATATATAGAAAAAAATTACAAAAATACATCTATATTTTAATAAATAATTACCCGGACTTGCTGCCAAATATGGTAGATCAGAATCAATAATAAGACCACATGTTTGGACGTTTACACTGTACATTTCTTCAAACTTCGTTCGAGCTTTAGATTCCATAACATTACCATAGTTTAATTGTTTTGTTTTTGGATTTGGTGCGTATAGAAAGCTATGGATTTTTTTCTTACAGCTGGTATACGGTCGCATTTTGCATACTGTGCCAAAATTTGATGCTGTCATTCGAAGTCTTCTTTCTTTGAACCAAAGAGAATTATTACTTTGATCTCTTGTAATAATTTCGATCTCAGATCTATCAGCTTCGTTAAGTTTTTGGATGAATAATAATTTTTTTTTGTCATAATCTTCTTTGGTTATTGTATTGATCAATGGTTCAGCTAACCCATAATTTTGATCCGCTGCTGTAAATCGTTGTCGGCTTTTGAATTTAGTAGTTGAGTTAGAAAACAATTGTCTTCTTTTTAAGCTATTGGCCCTGATACGTTCTATATTTTTTAAATATTTTTTGCCAAATATTCCTAAAAAAAATTATTCATAGATACACAATAAAGCAACTAAAAATAGTATTATATATTAGTGATGGCAAATACATAGCACTTGTGCTAGATATATAATACATAATAATAAATATTATTTATTTACATTATTTTATTAATAATACGAATTTTAGTGTAAATTTTACACTAGAGTATTTGATATATTATTATTACCTGGGCTTATATTTTGCATGGTTTTATGAACCTGCCTAAGGTACTGTTTAGAATTAAAAGCTATTACAGCAGCCTCGACTCGAGTATTGTAAGAGTTTTTTTGTGAATAGTTTATTCTTTTTCCAGTGATGTACTTATTTATAACACTATTAAAAATCTCACAAGCGTTATTATCAAAATCCGATAAAAGGCTAGATGCATTGCTAGTAAGCCGAAAGAGTATCTGATTTATTTCGCGTAATAAACCACACTTTTCCGCCTGTGGTACTAAATTTAATTCACCTTCTTTTTGCCCAAGACAAAAGTAAGTTGCACAATTTGTATGTTGGCCTAATCTATGATAAATACTATTAGCAATATCCGATCTGAGTTCTAAAAATTAACAGAACAAAATATGTAAATATGTATATATATAAAGAATAAAGTTACAATAATTTTCTACGAGCAGGGTGGAAAATCGTTAAAATTGCAAATTATTTTGTAGACATTTATATATATTATATATGTGACAATAAGCCATCTCCGCTCGAAAAAGAAAAAAATCAAAAATATAATATATTAATGAATAATAAATAAATAATAATTTATTTTATAATAAACCTGTAATTTGTTGAGACTTAGGTATCTCTTGTTTTTTTCTAAATTGTACTGCTTTTGTGACGTCAGAACGAAATCTTAAAATTTGAGATAAAATAAATTTTCTCAAATTAATAGGAAATTCAGTTTTATTTGCTAAAGCGGTCATTTTTTGACCAAAATTTCTCAGCAAATGATTTCGGCATTCTATTTTTTCTATAAAAAAATCTGGTCCATATGGCAATGTTTCATTCAATCTTTTTAACACGCTGCTATCTCCGTCTCCTATAAAAGTAAGCAATATAAATAATAAATAAATAGATTTTTTTTAATTGATTATTATATAAATACCGATTAATTTATTATATTTGAGACCATGCATTTCAATGCTGCGTAAAAAACCTTCGACCACTCCATCTGCTTCCATTGCAGTGGAGGCCTTACTCCAATTTAAAAAACATTCGTGTTTGGATGCTTTCTCTTTTCGGTTTGAAGCTCTTTGACAAACAACACAGTACCTATTTCTAATTCCTACAAACAAGACTTTCCTGGTTCTTTTCCCAATAATAGTGGCCTGCATTATATTGTTTTAATAAAATTAAAAATGTATACAAGAATATTAACAATTAAACTTGAATATTTCGTACCGTTCCTGATAAAGCATTGTATTTGGACTTGTAACTACGCTTCGACCATTGGCCATCAGCGATAACTGTACACATAGGTATACCGTCTATGTCGACCTCACCATTTTCTAATGCCATCCGTCGTTCTTCATCCCCAGCCTTTTGCATTTCGCTCCATGCAGTTTTTTGTACTACCAAATTAATACAATTTTGTATTTTTATATACGTCGTATTGCACATAGTAGGTACTTCAACTGAAGCAGACAGTTCCGTTAGCTGTGCATATCCTATTCCTTTCGCAGTGGTTTTGTATTGATTAAAATTTATTCATACCATATTTTTTTTAAATACTGTTCAGTTATTTTTTATTATAAACCATAATTAACATACCTGTTGCAATACTACCGTTAACTAAAGCTTTGTTAATCGGTATATATGTTTCTTTTGGATTTTCAGAATGAATTACACTTTCAATACTACACATTTGACATTGAAATTTAAAACTTGAAGTATACCCGTTTCTAATTTCTGATTTAAATGCCATATCTAAAAATGAACAATTGGTACCACCATCATGGCGACTTTTTTTTATTTGTTCAAAAATATAAGCTATATCAACTATTCGTCTACCCACTAAATTCCTAAATATAAATATATATTATATAAGTAAGTTATCAAGAGAAAAAATAGTATTACGTTGTACATACTCGGAAATAATTGTGTCAGAAGTATTATTTGAAATCACGCTTAAATTATGAGCATCAATATTATCACTATACCAACATTCAAATTTATAATAAATATTATTGAATTTAATAATAATAAATAATAATAATAATAATAGATATGTACCTCGAACTAAATAACGTAGGGCTATCAAAAAAGTCAGCTACATTTCTTTCATCTTCATATTGTAATTTATTTAAATGTATATCAGTATCATCAAGATTAGTAAGCGGTGTACCATCAATATGAGGAATTGGTGCACCATCGAAACTACGCGTAATAAATAATATTGGAGTGTGAAAATTTAAAATATAGGTTGCCCCAAATTAGATTAACAAAAAATAAAAAAATAATTATTCATTTTCACACTTACGTAATATTAGAAATATACGAATCATTATTTTCTATTAATTCTTCCGAAGAAGCTACTTGATGTTGTACACTCGTGGTGGGTTCCAAGCTATACAAAAAAGTGTTTTCGATTTAAGTGCATATTTTAGTGAATATTTGCTAATTATTTTGAAGTTAAAAATTAATAAAAAATTTTTCATTTAAAGCTAAGACTTGAAAATTTAATTCAAGGTTGACCATAAGTTAAGCTTAGAGTAATTATAAAAAAAAATTGAGAATCATCCTATTAAAAAATTGGACGAGTGTCAAAATTTTCACGAAATCAAAATTCAAGCGTAAAATAACGATTTACAAACAAACGAATTTTGATTTTTGTTATATTTATATAGTAAATAGTAATATACTTTTTGTCTATAGTTACAAATAAATATAATTATATATCCTAGGACCTAGACTGACAAATCATCTCCGTTCAGAATCGTTTTTCGTATACAATGATACCTATCATTGCATTCCAAATTTAACCTATATAGTCCGAAGTCCACTCCACCACCAAATGTACAGCAGAGCGAGTTTCCGGATTTTTTTTTTACCAAATATATTTGTAGAATGTGTAACCCACTAACCTAAATCAAATCGATAAATAGGTACACTATACGAAAAAATTTTAATTAACTATATAAATAATAAATAATGTTATATAATTATATAATAACTATCGAAAATACTTACCTATTTTAAATGTGAAAATTAAAAATATTGGAAAATTAAATTGGAACTTACTTGTTAGTTGTCTTATGCAACTTTTTACAAGCCAATGCTCGGCCGCCTTTCATATTAGAAGTACGTCTGTTTTTTACATTTTTTTTATTTGCCATTATGTCTATTGTCTGGCAGTTTTAAAAACAAAATTAAAATAGATATTATATTGATGTATAATAGTACCTATATTAATATGTTGACAACGCACGACACTACGACAGGTGAGTTTGTCAATGAAATGATAAAATAGTAGGTAATAATTTCGAAATAATAATAATAATAATATTCTTGTTAACAAATAAGATACATATTATAATAATATTATCTTATCGATAATAATATTATTTATAGTGGTTGCGGGCTGCGGGCGCTGCGGCATAGAGTTTTAAAGTATAAATAACTTATTACGTCGCGCGCATTGTAGTGGAGAGGGACGCCGCTGTGTACGACGACGTATGAGTTCACAGTGCCGTTAGGAGCAGCACTTGACGGCGCAAAATTTACATTTCACGGCGTTTAAATATGTTTACGCAGTCTGAGTATAACGCGCTTAATTTAGATTTTAGAGTAAAAACACCCATAACAAAATTAAAAGATGGCAATATTCCGGAAGGCAAGACGGTGCGTTTTTTCCATTATTTCCAATATTAAGTTCAATATATCGTTTAAAAATACCGTAAATTTCAACATTTTTAATGACCTTTAACTGTTAAATTTTTTAGTTTTTTAAAAAAAGCTCACCGTCTTGCCCTCCAAAATATTGTCATCTTTTAATTTTGTTATAGGTGTTTTTACTCTAAAACCTAAATTAAGCGCGTTATATTCAGACTGCGTAAATGTGTTTTTACCACTGAAAATTACCGGTGTGGCGTCCTCTTAACTTTAATAGTCATTAGGTGCTTGCTTATCATAATTTTTTTTTAATTGTTTTAGTAAATATTTGACTTATTGCACCAGAAATATTACTTTTTTATTTTGTAAGTTCATTTTAGGATATTTTTTTATTAAAGTCTATGTACACCTACTAATATTTTATGTTTTTTATATAAACATTAAAGAATGTTCACAATATCAGTAAAACAAAAATTATTAAAAAAAAAAAAAATAATAATAAAATGTGTGCAAAATGTTATAACTTTTCAAAATAGATTTTAAAATATATAATCCAACAGTACCTAATTCACACTCTTATACTGAAAAAGCCTTATTTTATAATATGCTAAAATGTATATAATTTCTAATAGGCATAGCTCTAATCATAATAATATTATGGGCAGTTTTTACTTATCATAAAAATTTGACATAAGGTAATGTTTTTTCTACAAGTGTATCCAGAGTATCATTACAAGCGCGTGATAATCGCATAGGCGGTATGTTGTGATATCTTCTCAACGGCTCAGTCGCCTTTTAGCTCGAACTATACATAATTTAGCAAAATATATCTTTTTATCTTTGATGTGAGTCGTTTTAGTAAATCAAAATATCTAGTATAATTTATAAATATCGTATTTAAAAATATTATTTATTTTTTATTTTAATTGTATAAAAATGAAAACAAATAAGTTAAAATTAATTATTAATAATGTATTAAACTATACAAATTATGATGGCAGATTACAATATTTTCCCCTGATATTGAGTGTCGATTTGTATTATAAACTGAATGATAGTAGTTTAATAAAATGTATAATAAATAATTATTATGTATTAATTTAATGTCTAAAACCGTTTTTAAAATAAGCGAGAACGTGGAATCTTGTGAATAAAAAATGTGCCGCATTAATGCGCTAACGCTGAAATGTGAAGTTTAAAATCGGAACTTTTTTGATATCATTAAATATATATATATATATATAAGTGTGTGTTATTTTTGATTTAAAATCAATCATTTTTGTTTTTTATCCAAACTAAAATTATTTTTATTTCATGTGAGATGATTTTCGTAAATTATATTAATCGACCAAATTTATTGCTTTTAGAAACCTAAAAATTATATAAGAATAAATCAAAGGGTCTGACAAATATTACAATATTTTATCGCTTATAATAGATATGTGTAAAATATTAATACAGAATCACCGTAAGGCTCACTTAACGATAACTCGAAACTCGATAAAATGTTCGGTCTATCAGTGATGCCAAAAATGTAAAGGTTTTACTACGTAAAAATTGTTAATATTATAATACAAAAAAAATATGTGTAATATTTATTTTATCAATAAGTTGTATTGTATTATTATCTTTGTATAGGCTATACTGATTGACCATAATATTCCTCATAAAAACTCGTGTGTTACCAGAAACACGTGAGCCTTTTGGTTAATTCTGCGATACAAATAACACAAAAATCATTAAAAAAAATTGTATAAAATGTACGTAAAAAGATTTAAGTGATAAAAAAAAATTAAAAATATCGAAAAACTGTAATAGATAGTATCCGTGTTAACGCACGCGTCGTGTCAACGACTCAGTGAGACCGGTGGCAACGAACGCTACAAGATTAATACTCCCAAGAGGTGGTACTGGGTCGGGTGACGTAGGAGGACCAGTTTTTGGCAGAACTCACAACCGGTGCGTTTCGGCGTTCGGCAGTCGTTCTCAGTTCAGTCGTTCTGCTTGTTATCCTTTCGTCGACTTTTTCCATTGTGACGACCCCCCCCCCACCATCACCCACCATTCGAACACCGATTGCCAACAGCACATTACCGCCATCGGTTTTTGTGTACTCATAAAACGTATATGTAGTATATGTATTGTAGTCGACAGTTTAACGTCACGTCGTGTCCATTGTCATCGTACAGGTGAATATGATACTATTTTATTACCACAGTAGTTTATGCTACTAATTATTGATATACTATTTCAATATCGTGTAAATAAAACATTAATGGCATTTTTGTATTTTCTCAGCACCCGTTTTTGCTACAGTCCCGCGTACGCCGCCCACGATTCGTCGTCCAAAGGTACGAGAGACAACCGTGCCTGCGAGCAAACCTTTCAGGTAAGAACAACTGTAATATAATATGTGTACTTGGCGAACGTCTCCGTACACGGTATGATATTTTGTTTAAGCGCCAATAGGTAAGCTTAACACTTCAATACATTAACGTAATAAAACAGTAGCGATATACCCGAATCAGAAAAATTCATGTTTATTTTACAGCATTATGTATAATACTCTGTAATAATACAACTTTAGTTTTAAAATTTGTCGAACCATCAAATTGTATTCTCGAGTCAATTATAAAAAAGTCAATAAACTAAACCTCTCGGATTGTGGCTGTAAATTCCACATGGTGAATAAACAGTAAAGACGCGTACACTCTCCTAACAATTATTATTGTTTAATATAATTACTTTCAATTTTAAAATACCTAGTTATATTGTTGACTTTAAAATAATTTACTTTTGCTAGTAATGTGTAAACATTATGCAAACTGTGAACAGTGGTGGATCCAGAGGATGAGGTAGGAGGCGTGCACCATCTCTCGGCTTTTATTTAGTTAAAAAAAATTGGTTTTCATAAAATAACTGTGTGAGAGCATAAGACGTTTCTTTATGTCCCGAATTATCGGCTAGCAGTAACTTCTATACGTTTACTTTTGATAATATTGGAATTATTTATATTCAATTTAAAAATAAATATTCCATTCAATTAATTTTCAGGCAACGACGCGCAGCACAGTCGGCACGTTGTTATCGTTATTATATTATTATAATATTGTACTAGTCATCAGATTACAATTATTTAAATTAAACAATACAATTATAAAAAAAATCTGATTTTCTTCGTGTTGTGTGCTTGCGTAGTTATGGTTCGTTATTCAGTATTTAACTATCCAATGTTGAGATATTTTTGAATAATAAAAAATAAAGTTTTAAATTTGAATTAAACTGGGGTTAATTTTATTTGAATGTTTAAAATTTGAATTATTTGAATAAGAACAACTTTTTTTTAAAATAGAAGTTTAATAAAAATGAAAAATTTGTAATACATTTATATTTTATAGTAGATTGTATTGTTTAAAGTATATTAAAACTTAAAATAGTTAATAAGTAAATAAAGTATTTATTTTGTATATTGTATTTGTTTTACTATAGTATATTAAATTCATTAATTATACATAACTATCCTTATTACATTTCTAAATTTAAATTAAATCTTAAACATATTTAGAAAATACTTTTAATTTTACATGAATACAATTTTAACTTATATGGGGAGTTTGAAAAAAAATAGGAAGACTAATAAAATTATAAATGTCCATAAAAAGTGTACACCTTTCCATCCACAAATAAAATTCCTGAATCTACTCCTGATTGTGAATACTATATAGGTAACTTAAACTTTGTTGTCAATTTTCTTCTTGAAATAATTTTAAATTTCTTTTCAGTAACTGTCCTAACCTAACCGTGTTAAAAAAAAATTAATTTTGCAGGTCATGTGTTAACAATATGCACATTGTGAATATCACATTATTTACACTGTTCTAAGTGAAACTAGTTTTTATTTTTTCTGTCAATTTTCTTACTGCAATAATTTTATATTTAATTTTAATCTTTTTTCAGTAACCATCAACAAAACACATTTGAAGCAAAATGAATTCTGACAATAGTGTGTGTCAATTTTATTTGCGAAACATTTGCCGGTTTGGAGATGAATGTTTGAAGAGACATGAAAAGCCATCGTGTTGTGAGTAATCGTGTACATAATTAATAATTTTATTTCAAGTAAAAAAGAAATTAACTACGTTAAAACTGAAATATTTTAAACGTTATAATCTTTACAAGTTTCCAATTTAGTTAACGTATAATCAGCTATATGTAAATAGTATAATGTGGGTACTTGACTATGAAGCTATTTAAAACAAAACATTGTTCTTTAGTACTATTTCATTAGTACATTCACAAAAATAATGTCAAAAAATTTTACCTTTTATATAATTTAATTTTAAAAGATATTTGTAAAATAACTGTTATTAAAATAAAAATGATTTATGTATGTAATGAATTATAACATTTAAAAGTAATTGGTTATGTTATAATCTACATATTTTCTTTAGCGAAACATGAACCTTCTGTTCGAACTTGTGAAATTGCAGCTAGCAGCTATCAACTCCGAGAAGGTCATAGCAATGTTCAGCAGGAATTGACTGATGAGTAAATTTTTCACAAAATCAGATAATAATTGAAATCATTCTATATTATTTTGTTATTTCTATTCAGGCCAACTGCGCATGATGTGGCTTTAAATACCACTAAAGATGTAAATAAAATTCAACCAGAAAAATGGACAAATACACCAACAAATCAAGGTAAACAATAACCTCCTAAAATTATATATTTAATTATTTATATTAATATATTATACACACTTTTTATTTCAAAGATTTAATCGACCTCAAGAGTGAAAATGAAAAGCTTGTCAAAAAATTTAATACGCTTGAAACAACAGTAAATACACTTCACGAACAATTAAAAAATCAAAAGAAAGAGAATGCTGACCTTATTAATGTGCTTAATAAAATGGAGTTACATGACGAGGATTTTAAATGTCCAGTTTGTTTTGAACTATTTATTGTGGTAAATATTTAATAGTTTTCAAGAAATATATCTATGTATATAATTGATACATTCAAAAATGAAATTAATTTTTGAATCATATTGTTCTAAAAATTTATCTTATTTATTTTATTACTTTTTTTTTTTTTGTTTTAGCCATCACTACTGAGTTGTTCACACATGTTTTGTGAATGGTGTATTGATAAAATGTTAGAGAAAAGTGATAAGTGTCCTATATGTCGAAAACAAATACTCCAGTATACATATTGTTTAAATACGGCCAACATTATTAAAAGAATGATTGAACGAATGCCGGAAAAGGTAAAATTGAAGTACGAGAAAGTAGAAGCCTCTCGATCAAAGGATAAACCAAAAAGTAATTTTTATAATGTATTTTATAGTATTGGCTTCGATTATATTGGACTATTTATATTCAATATTTTAATTATTTTTACAGTAAGTTTATTTTTTTACCTTATTTAACTAATTACACTGTAAATAAAAGAATCTCATTTCATTAATAATTTCATTATTTTTTGTTTTTTTTTTCTGGTGTTCTTCAGTCTTATTTAGATTTTTTCATTAAAATATTGTGTTTTGAACTCTTTTAATTATTTTCTGATGATACCAACACTTTTTCCAAAATTAAAATAAAAACTGATCAAAATACCTAACCTAATCCTTATTTAATAGATCTATTTTTACAGAATAAAATCATTATCAAATCATTCAAATCTATAATGTTTCATATCATTAATAGGATTTATTTTGAATATACTTTGAGTTTCAAAATTAACCATAACAATTGAGAATAAATCCTCTAGGATATTAGGTTTTATTAATAAGAAAATTAAAATTGTTAGGAATTCTGCAAATTCCAAATAAAATAAATTTTTTATTCATTTCTCTTTTTTAATTCCACACATGAGAATTTTAAAACTTATACTGCATTGTTTTCAATGAATTTTTATTTATCTCAGTGACAATATTTCATATTTGTATACTAATTTTATACTTTCATATTATTAAATTATTGTCATAATTTTTATTACTATTCTCATACTATATTTCTCTGATTGTAGTTTTTGTCATATGCATAACTTTTTGTTATTGTCATATGCTCATTGAATATACAATAAAAATAATATTTGCAATTATACAAAATTATTTTATTATTATAGGTTTACAACTGCGTGCTGAACGTGAGAAACTAGAATTAATAAGAATTGAATTAAATGGACACGTCTTTAGAAATTAATTTTTTATTATTATTTATTGATAATACATAAAGTACATATTATTTAATATTTTTATTTATTTCTATTCCTATAATTGTTATAAAATTATAAACTAGGCTGTATCGTGAAGTCATGATTTATGATAAAATATCATTAATCAGTTATGTACTCATGTGTGGTTATAAGACACATTTAAAAATAGGATATTAATTTACTTATATGTATTTAAATTTTAAATAATTAAAATAAATATATAATAAACTACTCAGTCTACTTGATCAATTCAAAAAATATTTTTGTGACCATTTATTTTATTTTTCAATTTTTATGAAATATTAAGAATTCTAAACATTTTGTACTACTTTTTTAATTAACTTAGATTAAAAATTAAAATTAAAAATTGAAGTTAGTTTTTATAATAAGACTAAAAAAATGTTAAGGAAAAAAGTATACCAATAGTAAAATATTATACCTAATTAGTAACAATTAACAATTAATATTAATAGTCATGTATTAAAAATGTATTAGTAGACAAGTTTATGCATAATTATATGAATTCTGTTAAAAGTAATGAATCTAGGATGATAAAAGCTTAATAAAAATGTAATTACCAAGTACAAAATATAATTTTATAGTGAAAAAGTTACACAGTACATTCAGTACTTGATAGGTCAATTACTGCTAAAATTTAAGTTAACCATCAAGGTTTGTTTAATTGAATGACAATTTGTCAATTTATTACAATATATAATGTATAAGTTTATAGATAAATACGCATAATATGGGTATGACCGTCTATTGTTACATACTATAATGATATATTAATATTAATATGTCAATATCAAGTATACTATAATATTTAAAAAGTTAATTATAACAAAGTGAATTTGTACATAATTACAAATATAACATGATTTGAACTACAAAAACTCTTTAAAATGCCCCTCTAAACGGATCATCAACTAGAGTGTTTTCAGAATTCACCAGCACACACATACATAATAATATATTCTTCAGAGTTTAGACCATACTTGGTCTATTGATTTGAGCTTTTCCTGCGTTTTATTTTTAGTTTATCATAGAAAAAAATTGTTCATTTATTATGATCACACAGCTTCCATTTCTGAATATTGTAGAACAAGTGAGGAGTTCATAAGTACGCAAACAGGTAAGAAGTTATATTATTAAATATTTATAGTAATGGTGTTTATTACGAATAAACACTACACGAATTCATATATCCTTATAAAATAATTCCTTTTGTAAGAGAAGATAATATATATATTAGGATAGCATTAACTTTTATTTTTATTACAGTACTTTCTTACTGAGTTTTATTTATGTACAAGGAGTGACTTGTGCAGTCAATGCGAAAGCAGTGTCTACCCTTGATATATAATATAAAACGTAAAAAAAAAATGTTCATAATTAGGACAATGCATTTAATTAATTATAAGATATTAAAAAATGCATTAATAAATCTAAATTAAGTTGATTAAAAAAAATGATAATGTTTTTATTATTTATATATAAATACTTGAGTTTTTACAAAAAAAACTATAAAATTATTTATAGCGTTTGTTTTTACAAATTATATAATTAGGAGTTTAAGAGGCCGCTACACAGAAAGTGAAACGTATACAACGCTCCAGAGATGGCGTTGTGCGCCGTATCGCTGCCGTCGTGGCTGCCGTAACCACGCCTATTAGCTCCTTGACTTGGCCCGCGCGCAATATTTTCCGAGCGGCGCATTATTACTCCGCAGACGGTCATATTAGACGTTTCGTATGTATTTGTCGCCTGTATGTTCTATGCGCTCGGCGTTACCCTTGCTTGGTGCCTACCTCACCACTTACTGATTGACTTAAGTCTTTACTTTAAATATGAACAAGCACAAATAATTCTTTATACAACATAGCTTGATTTACCTTTTCTAGCATAATTACCTACTTTAAAATACATATTATGAAGTATGGTATGTACAATTCACAAGTTCCTTTAATTTATTTTAGCATAGTTTATACTGTTACAGTAGATTACAGTATAATATTATCTTATTAATGGAGTTAAAATAGGGAAATAATTCATATCTTAAATCACTATTGCAATTTGCACCTATATTTGTCCTCGATCGACTACGTTTTCACATAGCATAGGAGCTACATTTATATATGTTTAATATTCGCGTATTATCTACGTGATTTGTCTTCATTCATTATTGCATTAATAAATACATCTAGAAAAAGCAAAAATAAAATAATATCAATTTTATAACAATAATAAACTATTAAAAGTTTAATTGTAGTTTAATAGTAAATTTAAAACAATATAATAATATCATCATGATTTTAATTTTTCATTGATAATTTATTAAATCTTTCTTGTTGTTTTGGGTATTTCATCCGGATCCCTGATATCACTTATCAACAATCTTTTTCCATATGGATCAACGTTCAGGCAAGAGAGACACTTAAATAAAACCTAAAATATAAATTCACGTCATAATCAATTTAATTATTAGAAATGGTATTGGTTCTATAAATATTTACGATGTTAAATTTTCAGACATCCAAATGGATGATCGGCACGAATTTTCCACAGTGGTCCAATTTTCGTGTATACTTACAACAGCATAATTTGCGTTGAGTAATATGCAATTGTCCAATAACTTGGTAATAATAATTACTATTTCTTTAATATGATCGACGAATCTTTAAAGTCCAATCTGGTAGCTGTAACACATGTGTTATAATATAATTTAACTGTTATATAGGTACATAATGATAACTATTTATAGAAGTATTGCAATATCAAAACATTTTTAATTGATATATTATTGATACTTACAAATTTATTGTTGAAAGCTCTAATTACACTTTCTGAATTACGAGCATTGTAAGGACATTTAATTTCAACAATGGTATTTTCCAACTAAACCATCTAATTAAATAAATATATATATAGAAAATTACAAAATACATCTATATTTTAATAAATAGGTTTGGTGGTGGTGGCGTAGTAGGTCAAACCAGAGTTACCGGTAACGTGGAGCGCCGGTCTTTGTCATGGTGTATTATCTCGTCGTTCCAGTCCGTCGATCGTTTTAATAGAAATTATAGTATTAGGTACCTACATAAATTTATCATATAAATATATATATATCAATTTACGGATTAAATCGAAGACGATGGCATTTTGTTTCATTATACTGCCATGCGATCATTTTTGGTTTTTGTAAATTGTTTTTCATCTCTTTGATATAAGTACTAAAAACAAACTGTGTTATACTTATATAATATTTATTATATAGACAAAAGTGAATAACAAAGTTTCATCAAAGTTAATCAATTTTAAAAGTATGCATTAATATATTATTTTATAATATACCAATAATAATGTTTTTAGCAGTTGTTCGTTACAGGCTTGTTAATACATTATACAGATTTATTCGTGTAACATTTATATAAAATTTTCATAAACATTGCTCTTTAACATCGAGTATTTATTCCTTTGTTAAACAATTATAGATATACATTATACTTTTAAGAATCTTTTTAAAAAGAAGACGCACCAATGTATTGCACCTGAGATTCTTCTGCAGATAACTGCTGTCAACTGGAGTGTTTTGAGTTCAGTATTTTGTCGATAAAAACGCATATGATATGTTCGCTCGTACATTAAAATCTCAGTGCGTACTTAAAATGTGTGCTTTAACAACAATGATTGTAGTAAAGAAAAATAGAAACAGCAATACTAACTGAACGAAGCACACCGATTTGG